ATAGAACTGATTACTTAGCACTTCCTAATTAGATACAGTAATTGCTGGTTTTCCTTTGGTCCTATTTCCACACTCCACAGAGACAAAAATAATGTACTTTGCATGCACAGATGTGCTACCAGTTTACTATCTGTATGCAGCAGACTTTGAACTGTTCTTCTGGAAATAGTAGAGATGCAGATCCATCATTTTCCCTCTCCTGGCCATTCTCTTTGCCCATGGCTTACTTGAAGGACAAGAGAATCAATTCTGTGTCACTTTGGTGGACTTCTCACTTTTAGCACTCAGCTGTGTTCAGCTGGTGTAGCCATACACTAAAATTTAGAAACTGGTACTTTTGCAACAGCAATGTCTAGTCTTATAAAATGGTTATAATGCAAAGTGATGAAAGGTTTGCTAATTTTTAATATAAACAATATTGAGTCTCCATATTTCTCTTTTTTCTTCATGAATTATTAAATATTTATAGTCTTTCTGGGACTGAAAAGATATGCTCTTTTCCTTGGAAGAAATTATGTCAGTCTGTATTAATGCATGTATAAAATATTTTTAATGATGTAAAGACAGAATTCTCAAAGATCACTAAATTGAAGGTTATTTAAGTGATACATTTCAAAGAGAAATGGGGAAACAGATAGATCCGGAAGCAGACCTTGAGAAGGCTTGGTTGTGCATTGAACTCAGGTGATGTCTACTGTCACATCCCAAGATAAAGTGTATAATTGTCCATGGGTTGCCCCCTCCCCAAATAATAGGACTTTTAAACAGGAAGAGGCTCACTTCTATTCCTGGCTGTCACTGGAAATTCTTGTGTTGGAGATACACTTTAAGGAATAATGTTCCTACCCCTTGAGGTTACCTGCTCACTGGCAAAAGTAAGCCAGATTGAAAACATCAGAAACCAGGTGAAGCCCAGCTACCCTGAAGGTAAATGACTTACTGATGAATATGCTTTAGGCTGACTATGAGTAAGATGCAAGAAACAAAACAGAACAGAGGTAGGGTTTGTGGGTTTCTTGAGCCACAGAAACACCTGCCAAGTGTAAAGGAGCTGATTGCAAAGTGGTACTGGATGCTCTACAGTTTAGAGCCAGAAAATGGAGGGTAAGATAGAAATGTCCTCCAAATAGGCCCTGGGTATTTTCAGTAATGGGGACAATGTCAGGCAGAATTAGAGGAGATTCTGAGATTCTAAGATTGGACTTGAATTTATTACATACTAGGGTCCTTTCATTGCTGAAGTGGTACTAAATGGCCTATCCTGAGGGACATGTGATATCAACTGAGTGACTGATTTAGATCTCACTGCAAACATGATGCTAACATTTGCTTTCCTAACTACCATAAATGACTAGAAGAATGAATTTTCCATTTAAACCCAGAAATATACTTCTAATTGAATTCCATGGCATTTGACACTTTTTATCTTAAGTTTCTCAGGTGTGTGTGAGAGAGAAAGATAAAAAAGAGAGACAGAGAGAGGAGAGCCCTAGTGACCTGCCCCTCCCCTGGCATACAATGACTATTCTTCCAGAACTGGCTATTAACAGTGCTCATAGCAGGCCATGCACTTAATCAATGTTTGTTGAGAAAAATCACATCACAGGAAGCACAATTAACATTTTCCATGGCCCCTTCTATGTTTTTATTTTTATTTTAGAATAAGATATAGATGTTTTTACACAAAAAATTATCATATTATTCCCCTCAAATTCATTTAATAGACTCAAAAAAGCTCAAACTTTTCCAAGTGAATTTCAAAGCTTTCCAAAAATCAAAACAAAAAACAAGCCTTGCCCTGGCAGGTGGCTCAGTTGGTTGGGTCATCATCCTCGTACACCAAAAGATTGTGGGTTTGATTCAGGGTGTGTACTTGAAGCAACTGTTCAATGTTTCTCTCTCACATTGATGTTTCTCTCTCCCTTCCTCTCTCTCTAAAATCAATTAAAAAACAAACAAACATATCTTTGGGTGAGGAATAAAAAAAGAAAAAAAACAAGTAGTCTCTCTAAAAACCTCTCTCAATCCTCTCTACAGACTTATCTCAATTCTGTCTCTATACCTTTTCTTATGCTGTGCTCTCTGTTGGATTGTCCTTCCTCTTCCTTTGAACCTAGCTAGATTTTATCATTTTTTCTAATTTTAGGCCAAGTACCTTATTTTGAAAGAAACTTTCCTTGGCTTCTTTTGAAGCTCCATGGCACTTGTCCTAACATCTCTCTTGATACTCATTAAAATTCTAGTCTTTGGTAACTCTCTCCCCCTCCACCCACCCGCCGTCCTGCATATATACACAACCCAAGGACATGGACAATGGTGGAGAGAGGGACTGGGGAGGGGGAAGGAACAGGGTGGAACGGGTCATTGGGGAGAAAAAGGGACATCTGTAATATTTTAAACTAATAAAATTAAAAACAAAACAAAACCAAAAAAACAAACAATTTTTAAATACCAAAATATAAATAAATAAATAAATAAATAAATAAATAAATAAATATAAATAAATAAATAAATTCTAGTCTTGCTTGTTACTTAACCCTGTGTATATTTTTCTGGCTTTAAAAATAGAATACAAACCTCTCCAGTGCAGGAATCATACCTCTTTGCATTTCACATTGCTCATAGTAGGCCATGCACTTAATCAATGTTTGTTGAGTAAAATCACATCACAGCAAACACAATTAACATTTTCCATTGCCCTCTCTATTTTTTTAGAATAGGACACAGTTTTTTTTTATTTTTAAAATAATACTTTATATTATTAATGGAAGTTTTACAGACATTATTAGATTAAAAGTACTGTTTTGTGTGCAGCCAAGAGGATAATAAACAAAAATATAAATCTTTAAGAATAATAGTTGAATATTATAGCTTTGTGTAGGAGTCCATTGATTATACCAAGGTCCTCCTATTTTTCATTCCTTAGTCTCTGTGCTCTCTTGCAGTAGGAAAAAACAGATATTTGTTTTCATAGAGGCTGGGTCTTTGTTTTCTCTGATGTTCTGCCTCTGGATCAGATATCCTCTGCTTCCCATCTTCTCTCTCTATTGTTTTTCTTTCTTTCCCCTTGTGTCAGTGTAAAGCTACAAGTAGAGAGAGGATGAGCAGAGGGATGGGTGGGATTTAAAAATCTGTTGAGCAGAGTCAGTTGGATTGTGGATAAATGAATAAGAATATGGATGTCTGACGCACTTTTATGCCTTTTCATCTTTATGTGTTAGTCTCTCTTGGTTGATGCAGGTGGAATTTTGTCATTAATGTTGATATTCAGTGTAACTGTGCTTGGGCTATTCAATCATACAAATGTTTTGGAACAGGCACTCATAAGCTTAATCTTGTTCTTTCAATAGAAAGGACATATATTTTCAGCTTAATTTCTTATAAGAGATCTATATCATCAAGGGGTTCATTTTACCTTGAGCAATAAATATTTTTATTTTATTGACAGTGAATCTGTCTGCAGTACTCAGTTTCTTCTTATTATATGTAGTTACCTTACAATAATACTGAAATTGTCTTAAAATGTTAAAATGCTTGGACATTTTAAATAAATTAAAATGACATATTTCAAGTTGATGCAGAATTTTGAATTTGTACACTATCATCTCAAGACAAGATGCTTAGTACTTTCTGAAGTATTATAAAAGTGCCACCAAACAGGGAGACAATATATGTTGAGCTGGGAAGTTGAGCTTTCTATAGTCTGTGAACTTGTTTCCTGCTGAATGTCTGGTATCTGGAGGGTCTTGACATCCATATAACACTTGCAGATGTGTAATACTTCCTCTCTGCATGGTCTCATATACATTTTATCTATGTTTTCAATAGTATCCTAAAACAATGATACCTAAGATGACCGCATGAAAGAAAAAATCTTTTATCACACTGGCATTAAAATGTGAGTAACTTTGTTTGGAAATAGTTGTGTCTCCCAGAGTACACAGATGATTCCTCTGAAATGTAGTAAAGCAATTTTTTTGCACATTAGGCTTTCATTAAAACAAGTGCTGATACACCAACAACAAGCTCTTTTGAAATTTGTGTTTGCTATCTGTAGGCTTTTAAGTGAATCATTATTTTCCCAGTTTCTCCTGAGGTGTATGTACATTTCGGTTCTCCTTGGAATGACTCTCTGAGGGGGCCAAATAGATATTTCTTTTCTTTCTACTTTTTTTGTCATTTTTTACTCCACTCTTAAATTCAACTTTAAAAGTTGTTTTATATGAAATTTTTCTGTGTCCTCATCTCCTGAGATCCTGGTGATTTTTATAAAAAGATGGAACAGATATTTTGAAAATGTTAGGGCATAAAAATGGATTTTCTCATAATATTCTCAGAAACTGTATGAAAGTAGAAAAGGACTATATTTTGAATTTTGGTTTGAGAAAAGAGGACAGGAAAGAGTATGGGATATAAAGGCAGTATTTCAGAAGGGCAATGAATGTAATCTTAAGAAAGGTGGCAGCCTTTCATGGTTCAGCAGCAGGTAACCATAGGTAATAAAATATATATAAACTAGAGCAGCATGTGGTAGAATGGGAACAGAGTACTCTTTGTGCCTGGTTAAATTTCTCAGTTTTTATTACATGTATACACTACAGAAATGTTCTACAGGATCTATGGAGAGGCAGAAGTTTACAGCCAATCATATGCTGCAAAGCAGTTCCATCACCTTTTCAGAATTCACATGTGACCAGTATTTTATGAAGCACTACCCCAGCCAAAAGTGTAAAAATCTCCTGGCACTGCCTTTAAACTGGACAGATTTTTGGTAGAGGCGATTGTGTAGGACAAAATGAAAATCAGAAATAAGTTCTAGGAAGTTAAGTGGGTGTCCTCGAGTCATCATTCATTCTACAGAGAAGTATAGATATGGCTCAGCTCCTTGAATAACTGGCAGCCCTAGATCTCGGTCACTTAGAAATAGTTCTGGCTCCACAAAAAAAAGGCAGAGCCTGGTGGACCTGTGAACTGTGGGTGGGGAAAATGGATGGTGTTACCTCTCCAGCACTGTAACTTCGGAGCCTCTGGAGGTGTTGACGATGCATCAGATGATTAGGAAGACGACCATTCTGAAGAGGGATTCGGGGGTCAATGAAAGTGGTCGCTCGACTGTTGTGGTCCACAAAAAAAGACTGCAGACAACCAGTAAAAAGAGCACTCAGTAAGAATGAGCCAGAATAAAATGAATAATGTAAGGGAATGCAATGGGGCCCAGATATCATGTTTATTTCTGTCTCTCTTTTATATCTACTCAAAATAAGATGGAAAACTGGGGCACTGTGCATCTGTTAGCTCAGTAGTTGAATGAAGCAAGCAGTCATTAACACTTTACACTGTGAAGTTATACAGAACTACTCATAGCATTTTTTTTCATATGCAAAATAAGATAGAGCCTTTGATGGATAAATAATACTAGTGATAAATCACTTCTACAGCATTTTACTTTTTAAAAAATGCTCTTTTTTATTATAGAATTAGCACAGTCTCACTTAGAAAAAAATTAAAAGGATAAGATAGTAAAAAGAAAATAATGTAAATTATCACAAATTAAAGGCAATCACCAAAATATTTTGGTAATTTTCTCAGTTTTTTTCTTTTCCTATGCAAGTATACAAATGTACAAATATATACATATTTTCCCACATTAAGAAGAATTTTGTTATAAAATATTTTGCCTATTATATTATGAACACTTCCATAAATTATTAAATTTTCTTTTAACACAGAATTTTAATAAGCACATAGTATTCAGATTGATGGAGTCATAATGATTACTTTCAGTACTCTGAAAATATCAATGGCATATTTCACAGAACTAAAACAAGTAATCCAAAAATTTATGTATAACAACAAAAGATCATGAATAGCCACAGCAATCTTAAGAAGAACAGAGTTGGAGGCATCATGCTACCTGATATTAAACTATACTTCAAGATTATAGAAATAAAAACACACACATGGTATTGTCATAAAAACAGACACATAAATCAATGGAACATAATATAGACTCCAGAGATAAACCCACAGTTAAACAGTCAATTAATATATGACAAAAGAGGCAAGAATATACAATGAAACAAAGGCAGTTTCTTTAATAAATGGTGTTGAGAAAATTGGTAAGATACATGAAAAAATAAAACTATATTTGTTATACCATATACCATATATAAGAATAAATTAAAAATGAATTAAAGACTTAAATGTGAGACTAATAACTATAGAACTCTTAGATTAAAACATAAGCAGTAAATCTCTGACATTTGTTTTAGCAATATTTTTTTATATATACCTCCTTGGGTAAGGTAAACAAACAAACAAAAATAAACAAATGGGACTACATCAAACTAAAAGCTTTTGTAAGTGAAGGAAACCATAAACAAAATGAAGAGAAAGCCTATTGAATGAGAGAAGATATTCACCAACAATATATCTGATAAAGAGTTAATGTCCAACATTTATAAAGAACTCATACAGCTGAACACTAAAAAATATCCAATAGAATTAAAAATTGACAGAAGACCTTAGTAGATGTTTCTCAAAGAGGACATACAGACATATGAAAAGATGCTCAACATCACTAATCATATGATTAATGGAAAATAAAACTAAAGTAAAATAAAACCACCTCACACAGAATGGCTATTATCAATAAATCCAAAAACAAGTGTTGGCTTGGATGTGGAGAAAAGGGAAGATTCATGCACTGTTGCTGGGAACCCAGACTGGAAAACAGTATGGAGGTGTCTCAAAAATTAAAAATGGAACTGCTAAGATCCAAGATGATGGCAGTACACTCACTCACCCCCAGGACCAAACTGGAATTACAACTAAAACATAGAAATATCAACCAGAATAACCAACTGAATACTAGCTGAACAAAAATCTTATAACTAAGGATTTACAGAAGAAGGCACAAAGAGACTGGTAAGAAGGGCAGAGATGTGAAAAGGACTTGCACCACTCCCATGAGTGGTAGATAAGGTTTTGGAGAAATATCTCAGCTGCAGGGGTTTCCCCTGAGAAGTGTGGGATCTCAACCCCACATTGGCTCCCCAGCTCAGAGAACCAGAGCCTGGAAGAGGTACCTGCATAACATCTGGTTGTGAAAAGCAGTGAGTATTCTGTCTGCCTGGGAGAGACATAGGTGCCCTCTTCAAGGGCCAGTGCAGAACAGTTCATTCACGGCCACCCACCCTAGACTCTGGCAGAGAGGGGGTGGAGTTGACTAGAATTGTGTGAGGAGGGTCTGGGGTTTGTGGCTCTGGGGAGAGAGTTGAAGGGGCAGCCACCAGGATCCCTGTGCTGAGTCCATCTCCCACACTGCAGACACCATATTTTTTTAGTGGAGCGCTCCCCTTCTTATGGCATCAGTCTAAGGGAAAGCAATAGCTCCACCCTCTGAACTTCATGTTGCTCCTCCCTGCAGAGCTTATGCCTTGCTAAGAAGTCACCTGTCTGATCCAGGGTGAGGAGTTCTGGGCGGACTCAGAGGGTGTCAGTGGCTAAGTTGTGAGGCTTTGGGGTGGCAGACATTCAACCCTCTTTCTTGTGAACCTGACCAATGTTGTATCCCTTGAATGAGAGATACACTAGCCCTACCCTAAGGGCTACCAGCAGCCCCAAACTCCTGACTCCCAGTGGACCTGTCCTGCTGGGCTCTTGCTCCAAGTAGAATCTGAGACATTGAGTTGTGTGGCTCTAAAACAAGGGCCATTTTTCCTCCTTTGCCACACCAGTGCAGAGCCTTTCCTTATCATATAAAATCTCAATCTGTTTGGGCCTGACAAACTCTGCTGGCCCCCCCATGACAACTCCGCACCACAAATGTCTGTGGAGACATGGCCAGTAGCAGCTAGACTAGGTATACCCTAAGAAATTTGCTGAGTGGCCTCAGACCCAGCACTGGCACCAAGTTTGAACATGTATCAATCTGGTGAACACTACTTGTCCTGCCTAACAGGCAGCCAGTAGATGGAGGCAGGTAGAGACTGGTCTCAGGGTGTCTTGGGAACAGCCCCCAAGGTTTGCACAAGTGAAAGCTGGCTTTGGTGCAAGGATTTGTTCTTCCCACACATACCCAGACCCAGCAGAGGAAGCCACAAGCTCTAGATCACTTTGCATCTCTAAACAGTTTGATCAAGGCCAGTTACAGGCAGTGTCTGACATTTATCAGAGTCCCTCTCAAGATGCCCCAGAAAAGACATGCCAAATGGCCAGCATCAGACAACATTAGAGCAGGATCCAATTAGCTTCACAAATGGAACATCTAAAGGAACATCTTGGCAGGCACCAGACCCTGCTTAGGCAAAATTTGCTTTGAGTGGTCAGCACATGCATAGCCGCACAAACACTGTGATTGGGATTCATCTTCAAAGTCAGCCAGTCTAAGGTCTTCCTTACACACAAATGGGCCAGTAACAATTAAGTCTCAATTATAAGAGCAGGGCTCACATAACCCACACAAGACACATTCCTGGAGCACCCAAGGCAACTGGTCACTGAGACTGGGTCACTGGAATCCATAGGACACCTACTACATAAAGCCACCCTAAGAAGACTTGGAAAAAGAGCAGATCTACTTAATACATAGCAACAAACACAGAGAGTCAGCCAAATAGAGAGTGTAAGAAACGCGACTGAAGTCAAAGTATAAGGGAAATCTCCTAAAAAGAGCTAAATAAAAGAGAGGCTAACAATTTACTAGATATAGAGTTTAAAAAATGGTCATAAAGATGCTCAATTAACTTAGTGATAACTCAATGAACTTAGTGAAAACTTAAACAGCATGAAAAGGGACATAGAAACCCTGAAAATGAAGCAGTCAGAAGTGAAGAATACAATAGAAATAATAAATTATAAGTTGGATAAAGCAGAGGATTGAATCAGTAATTAGGAAGACACGGTAGCAGAAAACACACAATTACAGAAGCAAAAAGAAAAAAACAATTTTAAAAAATGAAGATAGCTTAAGGGACCTTTGGGACAACATAAAGCATAAGAACATCAGCATCACAGGGGTACCAAAGGAGAAGAGACAGAGAGAGCAAGGGATCAAGAACCAATATAAAGAAATAATAACTGAAAAGTTCCCGAACCTGGTGAAGGAAAAGGAAGTCCAAGAAGCACAGAGTTCTAAACAAGATTAACCCAAAGGAGCCCACACCAAGACACACCATAATTAATATTTCTAAGGTTAAAGACAAAGATAAAATCCTAAAGTGGCAAGATAAAGAGAGTTATTTACAAGGGAGCTCTCATAAGACTGTTGGCTTATTTCTGAACAGAAAAATTCAGGTCATAGGGATTGGCATAAAATATTCAAAGTGATAAAAAGCAAAGACCTACAACTAAGATTACTTTAACCAGCAAGGCTATCAGTTAAATTTGAAAGGAAAATAAACAACTTCTCATACAAGGAAAAGCTAAAGGAGTTCATTTTCACCAAACCAGTATTAAAATAAATGTTAAAGAGACTTCTCTGGAAGAAAAAGAAAAACATGTGAGAAACATAGTTATAAAGAATATAAAGACAATAAAAATGTACCTATCAATAATTACTTTAAATGTAAAAGGCCTAAATGCTCCAATCAAAAGACAGAGGGGGAAAAAAAGACATAGGGTAGCCAAATAGATAAGAAAACAAGACTCATATATATGTTGTTTACAAAAGACCCACCTCAGGATAAAAGATACACACAGACTAAAAGTAAAGTGATGGAAAAATATTTTATGCAAATAGAAATAAAAAAATGCTAAGGGTGGAAATGCTTATATCTGACAAAATAGACTTTAAAAAAGGCTATAGTAAGAGACAAAGAATGACACTACATAATAATTAAGATAACAACTCAACAAGAGGACATAACCCTTGTAAACATTTATGCACCCAACATAAGAGCACCTAAATATATAAAGCAAATCTTGACAGACAAAAAGAGAGAATGACAGTAATATAGTCATAGTAGGGGATTTTAACACCTCATTGACATCAATGTATAGATCTTCCAGACAGATAATCAACCAGGAAACAATGGCCTTAAGTGACATATTAGTCAGATGGATTTAATTGATATCTTCAAAGCATTTTATGGTAAAGCAATAGGATTTACATGAGGATAGTTTAATGACCTCC